AAGATAGAGAGAGAGAGAGAGAGAGAGAGAGAGAGAGAGAGAGAGACTTAGACACAGACAGAGACATAGAGAATGTTGAAGTAAAGGAACAAGCACCATGCAGTATTCTCTCCTGACTGTTTGGGGTATGCTCTGACTATACAATTTAGTTTTTATTTATTCTAAGCTGATGAATTTTTTATTATATGTTTTATTATAAGCCCATCCCGAGTCTCCCTAATGAGCCTGGCTTTCTGAGTGTAAGCACAGTATTGTCCCTGACTTTCTGTCTCGGATGTACAGAGCACATGGGCCCATATACACTCATGTTGGGTCACTACAGGGAAGGTGTGCCTTGAGACTGTAAATGCATCACTCCTTGCCAACTGAAACAGTACAGTTTACAGAGCTCTCTTTTCCTTAGCTAGATAAATGTGGAGGTGTCATTAATAGTCCATGAATTCTCATCTTAGACTCTAAGGAAACAATCCAGAATACTAGATGAACAAGTTATTAATGGATGAAGTTTTTACACCACTGGCTCAGCATCAGATATTACCCATTGCTTGTGGGAGATGATGGCCTGGTCTTTGGTCTGAAATGGGGGGGGGGGCTCCAATGGGATATGAACACACTCTTTGGCGCTTTCTTTTTCCTCCCCTTCAGGGTGGTTGCAGGTTCCCAGTGTCCCCAGAGGACACGTGGCCCCTCCCCTGAAATTTTCCAAATGTTACTTAGAAAGCACTCATGTTTTGTTTTATGGTATTAATAAATTCAGATAATTTGTTATGAGCTAACTCAGGCAGAGATAATTAGCTAAAGTTAGCATTGTTTTTAGAAACACACAGATGACTGTAGATTTACTCTGCAGCCTCAGAATGAGCAGAGGTTAGCAGGCTTTTTTGTTTTTGTAAGATGGTTATCATTATGTAGCTCAGGCTCCCTCCTAGAGCTCCCTCTGCCTCCGGGGATTAAGTCCTGTGGGAAGCTAGAAGACTTCTATTTGAATCCATGCTGTCAAATTGCTTAGTTCTCTGACCTTCTGCTTCATTTAGATGAAGGGTAATATATATTCTCTACCCACCTGAGGAATTCACAAAATAAGATTATACATGAAAATATTCTATGAAACAACACATAAAAGTATGGTATATGGTTTCAGCAATATACCACAATTTCCTATCTTGGGTCCATGAAAGATCTCTCTTGGGCTGGCAAGATGGTGCAGTGGATAAAGGTGTTTGCTGTGCAAACCTGGTGATTGGGGTTTAATCCCCTGAGCCCATGGTGTAAAGAGAAAACTACTGTCTCCACAAAGTTGTAGAGGTCGCCTGACCTCCATAGTCATGCATCTGTACAATAGGCAATAAAGTTAAAACCTCTCTCTCTCTCTCTCTCTCTCTCTCTCTCTCTCTCTCTCTCTCTCTCTCTCACACACACACACACACACACACACACACACACACACACACACACCTTAACCCTATAATGAAGAGTCTCATTATTTATTAGGTTAATTTTATTCCTAGTCACATTACAGCGTTAGTAGAATTTGCCATTAGGATACTATGTGCATAGGGACCACGGTGTTAATACAAGGGTTGCCCCTTAATAGATATAAAATTTGTGGTTTAATACAAAGCCACTGGTGACATTTTTAGGTTCAAAGGTATTTATGTACTTCTTCACACTCTTGATTTAGAGAGGTCTGAACTCGTTCTATTTTTTTAAAAAAGTTGTTAAGTGATTAATGCCTTTGTGTGTTATTTTTAATTCGAAAAGGCCTTATTGTCATGATTATTGGGTTGAAAGGTTTTGCAGTTCTTACATAAGAGCTGCTGCAGTGTATATTGAACAGTTGGGATATGGGAATCCTTGGCTTTCTGAGTAGATCTAGTAATGTTTCACCCTTAGGTAATATGTCTATGAGGGAAAGGTAAGATGGTAATTTCACCCTTTATTTAGAAATGAAACGAGTACTGGCTTCCTTTAACTTCTGTTTCCCGGGATATTCCAGTAATGTGAAGATGGCTTTGCACTGCCTGGTTGCCTAGGACTGTCTGAGAGCATAATTACACTTCCTAACTTGAAAGGCATGAAATGAGATATGTAATAGATGTGAAGATGGTAGATTTTTCTCCATTCACCTAAGTTAGACATTAAAATTACTAAATAATAGCCAGAGAATACCACAAATATGAACATGACTCCTCTACCCTGTACCCATAGCCACTTCCCAGCTAACAGCAGCAGCTGCAGCAACAACCAACCCTTCTGAAATCTCCCGCCCCATGCCTTCCCTGCCGTTCTAATCCTGGCTTTTCTTGTTCTCATGCAACACTGGACAAATTAATGCTCTTATTTTCTGTCTCATCTGCAAATGGACATTATAATGGCACCTACTTCATTGGGACAGTTGTATGGACTTGATTAACATCTAAAATATCAGAGCTGAAACCGGTACTATATAAGAATTAAGCAATATTAATATTAGTATTGCTCTTCCAATATTTAGTTTATGGATCTATTCAGGGTCATTGAATATGACCTATTGCTAGGACAGAGAGGTATGTTTTCCTGACTCCAAAGCTTTTATTTAGTAAAAACCAAAAACTGGGGAAAAGCCTACATGTTTTGAAGCATCCCACTAGTGCCTGTAGAATCCATTAACTTCTGAAACTATCTGTATTTGCTGTTAACGTGAACAAAATTGCGCAAGTGGGGGCAGAATGGGATAGTATTTTTCATTCAGAGCCAGCAGTGAGACTGATGCCTGGCAGTCTGACTTGTGTGAGTGAGCAAGTTATTACAAATATAAATATTAATCACTTAAAAAAGAAACTTGACAACCCCTCCCCAGGGACAATAACTGCATCATAGTCTTCCTAGCCAGTGGATGAGAGAAAGAAAAAGGTAAACACATACTATGTATTTGAAATCATAAACGAGACAAAACGCTTTTACATAGGGAAGCTATGTTATAGAATATAGGCCAGATGATAAGGTGTCTATGGTATTTAATTAATCCATTGGTAGGTTTTTGTTTGTTTCTCTTTTCTTTTTCTTATTTTATTTGAGACAGAGTCTCATGATATAGCCTTGGTTGGCCTTGGAACTCACTAAATAGACCAGGCTAGCCTCATACTCATAGACATCCACCTGCCTCTGCCTCCCAAGAGCAGGGATTAAGGTGTGTGCCCCTATGCCTGGCTCTCCACTAGATTTTGATGCCTATTTTTCTTTAGCTATTGTTCAAGTGATGGCATTAATTTTATTGTTGGCTGTTTTATCTTAGTTGCCTTTAAAAATCTGTAGTTAATCAGGTATATGGGATAGCTCATAGACTGAGCACCCAAATGACTGTCCAGTTTTGGTTGTATTGCATGGAAATTTGTTTTTATGGAATTTTTTTTAGCCATTTCTTGGTATGAAGGTCCTTTCCCTGCCTCTGGTGTCATTTCTGATTTGCCTCCTGATCTGTTGAGCTCTTGCTTCTAGAGCTGTTTTTTAACAAACATTCTGAGTGAAATTCCCTCTTTGCTGTAAGCCTTGCTACACTTTGCTGCTGGGTCTATAGTCCAGCAGCATCCACACCACTTTTTTAGAAATGCAGACTCCCAAGCCTTCCTCCAGACTGGCTGAGTGAGAATCTATATCTTAAGATTCCCAGGATGTTTGTGTGAACTTGTGAAGCCCCATTTAGCTGATCACCTTTGTGTTAATTTTTCTGCTTAGAGATCTCTCTACCTTACAAATTGTGCTTGCTGTGTTCTGGGTCATATAGCATGTCAAAATATTTTGCCTTTAGAGATACAGGATATAATTAAAGCGTTAGAAGTGTTTACTGTTTGTCGATATGTTTAATTGGTGAATATTTTCTTTTCTCTCCTCTAGGGCATTCCTGGAGATTTTAGAAACATTTCTACCATGGAATCCATCTCTATGATGGGAAGCCCCAAGAGCCTGGAGACTTTTTTGCCTAATGGCATAAATGGTATCAAAGATGCAAGGAAGGTCACTGTGGGCGTGATAGGAAGTGGGGATTTTGCCAAGTCTCTTACCATTCGGCTTATTAGGTGTGGCTATCATGTGGTCATAGGAAGCAGAAACCCGAAGTTTGCATCTGAATTTTTCCCTCATGTGGTGGATGTCACCCACCATGAAGATGCTTTAACAAAAACAAATATAATATTTGTGGCTATCCATAGAGAACATTACACCTCCCTGTGGGATCTGAGACATCTGCTTGTGGGCAAAATCCTGATTGATGTGAGCAACAACATGAAGGTGAACCAGTACCCAGAATCCAATGCAGAGTACCTGGCTTCGCTATTCCCAGATTCCCTGATTGTCAAAGGATTTAATGTTATCTCAGCTTGGGCACTTCAGTTAGGTCCCAAGGATGCTAGCCGCCAGGTATGTGTGACCTTAAATTTTATGATATGTCTGGCATTTTGTAATCAAGTAAACCAAGTTCAAATGCATTTAATTGATTATTTGAAAACTATGTAAGATCGTGTGAAGACTGCATTCCAACTACATAAAGGCAGGTTTCTCTTCACGAAAAGATGATGTGACAACTTCTAAAATGACATGTATTTTTCTGTAATTGCCAGTTAATTAAAGAAAGGGTGATGCTAGCTGATGTGTCATATGACACATTACATTAGTCCTCCGGATTGTTTCTTCCCCCTCTTTCTGCCCTCCCTTCCCCTATCTCTCCCCCTTTCTGCCTTTGCTGGAGCTACTTGGTAATGCAGTATCCCATCTCTGAATGAAATAGGACTTGGTAGGATCCTAAGAATCCCTTAGAATAACCTTTGTGTTTTTCATAGATTACGTTTTTTATAGCACATAAAAAGTAAAGTCTGAGCTGGGCGTCGGTGGCGCACGCCTTTAATCCCAGTACTTAGGAGGCAGAGGCAGGCGGATCTCTGTGAGTTCGAGGCAAGCCTGGTCTCCAGAGCGAGTGCCAGGATGGGCTCCGGAGCTACACAGAGAAACCCTGTCTCGAAAAACCAAAAAAATAAAAATAAAAAAAAAAAAAAACACTCCGGGCTGGAGAGATGGCTCAGATGTTAAGAGCACTGACTGCTCTTCCAGAGGTCCTAAGTTCAATTCACAGCAACCACATGATGACTCACGACCATCCGTTATGTGATCTGGTGCCTTCTTCTGGTGTGCAGATATACATGGAAGCAGAATGTTGTATACATAATAAATAAAATCTTTTTTTTTTTTAAAAAAAGGAACATCTGTTGTAAGAATGGATTTTAAGCCGTGGGGCAGGTAGGCAGAGGTAGACTGGATTTCTCAGGTTCACTCTCAGCACACGAGGCTATGGACCACACCTTACCTAGCTCAGCTTGTGAAGGCAGCAGATGGTAGGCTCTGTTAATGCTTCTGAAATGAAGTCGCTCTAAGAAAACACATGAAGGCTACTTTAAAAGCCCTTCAGAGGTGTGCTTAGGCATTGAATCTGAGGGTTGTAGTAAAAGAACCTTTTCATTTTTGCTCCTACAGCCAGTTGATTATGGGGCTGGAAAGATGGCTCAGCAGTTAAGAGTAGCTGCCGTTCTTGCAGAGCTCAGGAGTGTGGGTCTTAGCATCTGCCATGGGCAGCTCACAACTGCCTGTAGCTCCACCTCCAGGCCTCCAAGGGTGCCTGCCCTCATGTGCACAAACTCACACATAATGAGTCTTTCAAAAAGCCAGTTAATTCCATCCCCTATACAGTGGAGTCTCACAATTTTATTCTACGTATCAGGGTCATGAACTCTATATTGAGTACTTGCCATCACTGTGACATGAGCACCAGGACTTAGAGGAGAGGGATTTACGTTGTTCAGTTTCAGAGGGTTTGTTTCATCATGATGAGGAAGGATGATGGAGCAGAGCCATTCATGTAATAGAGGGCAGAGAGCAGAGACAGGGCAAAGCCACCATCCTCCTGGCTTTCTCCTTTCTCTTCTTTATTCACCTTCCCTTGGGTGATTTCAAATTCAAGCATATTGACAAGATTGGCCATCATAGTAACCACTCACTTCAGGTCTGTCCCTCTCGCTCCTTGCCCCCTTCTTGCTTTTAGATTTTTTTTGAGACAGTCTCACATTTTGGTCCATGTTGGCCTCCACCTCGTGGCATCTCCCAAAGACTGGGATTACAGGCATAAGCCACGGCACCTGGCTCAAGTGTTTCAAACAGTGCATGCTTTCCCCAACCCTCTGTTAGAGATCAGACCAGGGCCTTGCACAGACTAGGCAACTGCTTGCTCATGGGCCACACTCCAGCTGCTAGAGATGCTTCTTCCTTCCCTTCTTTTTAAGAAAACATAGCCCATAAAATTGGCAAATTTGAGCCAAGGCCTATTTGACAAAGTTGACATAATCCCTTCCTCATATTCATGATCATTTCAATTTGTAGTGGAAAAAACCTTCATGGAACAGTGATTAAATTCAAATTCAAAATGAGCTACAAGACCCGTCCTGACAAGAGCCATGTAATTGGTACTTCATCCTGCGTGGATGATGAACAATCTGTAGTATTGAATGTTTCACTTATAGTTCTAGATTTATTGTTATCATTTATAGACTTTTCTCCAAATAAGAAAAAAAGGGTCTATCATAATGTTATTATTTATAGACTTTTCTCCAAATAAGAAAGAAGAGTTTGCTCCACCATTTCGCACCTGCAATAAATGAATATGAATGCTTTCCTTATTTCTTTGATATAAAAGTTTCCCATTTTAGAAATTCACATTTGCTTAATAGTGCAGAGTTTATCATTCACAAAGCTGGCTACCATCAGCTGAGAGTCAAGCCTGAAAGCTGAACTCTGTATTGTCACCTTCATGTAAACAGATTTAACATGCAAACATGTCAGTGTGGCCTCTTCAGAGCTTGTGTACAAATGTCTTCAGGGATATATTTGGAAATTCGTTTTCTTCAAACAGCACTGGAGACTTTGTACTAATATTTTTCTAGCCCTGAGTGAGATGATCTTCCTATTCATAGTAGTAGCTTACTCTAGCCATAAACTTGTAGTTCAACAGGTACTTGTTGAATTTTGACTATAAAATAGTCAAAAATTAAGCCTCCTTACCATACCTATGCCATCATTAGAGTTCCTATGGAAATGATGGCCTCCTCACTCTACCTACGCCATCTTTAGAATTACTATAGAGATGATGTGTTTAGTCTTAGAAAATGACAGTTCCATTCTGTTTAAGTTAATAGCCTTATAGAATCATCGTTTTACTTGTGAAGAATATATCCAAAAAATGAAGAAATTTTATATGTTCACCAATGAAACGGTATACCTGGAACTATTCAAGTGTTTTACAGATACTTAATGAATTGGCCTCTAACCCTGAAGGTAAATTTTATAAGAAGTCTGGCATCGTGACACAATTTGTACATTTTACTCGGGAAGGCTGCCACGTGGAGTCCATGCCCATCTGCACTCTTTCTGGGATAGCTATGAAGGGCAGTGCTTTTCATCGCTCTCCTCTGCAGGGTCTCTACATTCCTCCAGCTGAAAGCTGGTCATAGAAGCAAGGGGATCCAGCCTCAACCTTAGAAAGCAAGGCCTGGAGCATATGGCCACACAGACCTCTGGGGAGGGAGGCGTGTGCCTTCCCTTGCTGTTGACCCGGGTGCCCTAGGAAGCATACCTTCTCTTTCAGCAGCCTCCCTCCCCCGAGAATCTCTCTGAGCTCTCCAGGTTGCAGCTAGATTTTCTTCACTCTCTTTTCATCATAGGGGGAAAAGACTTTTTAGTTTTCATTGCACTATTTTAAGTCTATCTTTTAAGATACTAATAAATCTAACCATAATGTGATACTTTTGATTGATTAATTCATTGTTAAGATAGTGTTTTAAACTATTAACAATAACTATGGTAGTATTTAAGTCTGTTTAATAGTTTACAGTTAATAATCATTTTTCTCATCTTCATTCACTGGCATCACTCGAAGTCATTAAACAATACACCATAGATGATTCCGTACTGTTTGTGGTTGATCATTGGACTTTTATGAATAGCAGTGCTAACGAGCCTTTTGTGTTTTTTTTTTTTAAACAGGTTTATATATGCAGCAACAATATCCAAGCTCGACAACAGGTTATTGAACTTGCCCGTCAGTTGAATTTTATTCCTGTTGACTTGGGATCCTTATCATCAGCCAAGGAGATTGAAAATTTACCCCTGCGACTATTCACTCTCTGGAGAGGGCCAGTGGTAGTAGCCATAAGCTTGGCCATATTTTTCTTTCTTTATTCCTTTGTCAGAGATGTGATACATCCGTATGCCAGAAACCAGCAGAGTGACTTTTACAAGATTCCCATTGAGATTGTGAACAAAACCTTGCCTATAGTTGCCATTACTTTGCTGTCCCTGGTATACCTGGCAGGCCTCCTGGCAGCCGCATATCAGCTTTATTATGGCACCAAGTACCGAAAATTTCCACCTTGGTTGGATACCTGGTTACAGTGCAGGAAACAGCTAGGATTGCTGGGCTTTTTTTTTGCTGTTGTCCACGTTGCCTACAGCCTCTGCTTACCGATGAGAAGGTCAGAAAGATACTTGTTTCTCAACATGGCTTATCAGCAGGTACCGGACACGCTTGTTATTCATCTGGCTCTAGTGACATATCTTAGTAGGAACTGTAAAATCTGAGTTAAAATAGTGTAAATTTATATACACTTTGCAGCAGCATTTTTCCCTAGGCATATTTAGGGAGCAGAAGTACTGTTTGCTTTGCGGGGATTGTTTTGCTTGAGACAGGGCCTCATTGTGTAGCCCTCACTGGTCTAGAACATGCCACATAAACCAGGCTGGCCTTGAACTCACAGAGACCTGCATGCTTCTGCCTCTTGAGTGCTAGGATTAAAGGAATGAGCCACCACACCTAGTGGCCAGGAATTTGGCTATCCCTTTTGCATCATAGCAGCCCAAGGGGCTATTTTGAGATGTTGGTAGGAGAGACTTTAAAAATATATATATACATATGTATGTATGTATGTATGTATGTATGTATGTATGTATGCTTTGTTGACTGAAACTGGACAAAGTAAAGATGGTATTAAGAATATACTTTTTTCCACCAGTAGATACACATTTAAATAAAATTTTCAGCTGAAGAGATCCAGCTCTTAACTTATGCTCTAATTATGTTGTTTGTAGATAAATAGATAAGATTGTCATAAATTCACAGTTAAGTCAGACTTGATTAATATGCATTAGCAATATGAGGGGAGGGTTTGTAGAAAAATACTGCAAATGAATGAAACAGTTGGGAATTGGGAAGGTATATTAGTGAGGTCCATCAAGTGGACAGATATTTCAGCTCCACTGAACCTTATCCAGAGGAAATTTTGGTTTCTGGGAAAGAAAGGTTAGGAAGAAAGAGGCATTGACATGGACCAGGTAAGGAAGAAGGTAGCTTACAAGTCTGAGTTAAACTTAGTAGGACATACCTCAAACATTCAGCCACACCTATACAAACCTGTAAAAGGATCCCAGAGCTGAGTCTGACCACAAATGCTTCTCCTCCGTCACTTGAGAACCAGTCAGTTGGCGTCCATGGTCTTGGACTTGGGGGGCCTCTACAACAGGGACTCATGGCTTGTCCCCATCTTCACACGCTAGAAAAGGAGGGGGCCTTAGCCCTGTTTTGATTAAACACTCTCTCCCTTTTCTCCACATCTGGAATAATACTAAGAACAGGTTCTCCACAATGGTTCATTATGCTGAATTAATTAATAATGAATTAATGAACACTATTAATCTTAAACACGATCATAAGTGGCCTGGTTCTTTGTAGGCCAAGAGTAAACGGTGTGTAGAATCAGCTAATGTTCTATGAAGTAAAGGAAATTCATATCTGTATTCTTGTTAGGTTCATGCAAATATTGAAAATGCTTGGAATGAGGAAGAGGTTTGGAGAATCGAAATGTATATCTCCTTTGGCATCATGAGCCTGGGCTTACTGTCACTGCTGGCAGTCACTTCAATCCCTTCTGTGAGCAATGCTTTAAACTGGAGGGAATTCAGCTTTATTCAGGTATGTGGGGTTTTTTGTTTTTTTTTGTTTTTGGTAACACATCAGACAGCATAGAATTTCACTGTTAAGTTCAGTGTTAAATATGTTCCGTCTAAAAAGAATGCCTTTGAAGCCATAGTTACACATCCATTCAGGCAGCACACATGGCTGGGGCCAGATTACAGCCACTCTGGTTAGGAAAGGCTAGTGCATCTTTACATTAGAAGGCAGTCATAGCAATGTCTGTTATATTATGGAATAAAAGGGGAGAAGTGGGCTTAGGTAAAATTTAATGTTAAAAGTCAATTTACTTTGATTTTTTTTCAATTTACTTTTATGAGCATTTTGCTCGTGTGTTTCTGTGTATGCGCCACATACCTGCCTGGTGCTCACAAAGGTTGAAGAAGGTGTCAAGATCTGCTGGAACTGAAGTTTTGGACCAGTTGTGAGCTACCATGTGAATGTTAAAAATCAAACTAGGTCTCTGAGCCATCTATCCAGCCCCCCAAAGTCAACTTATTATTAGTCAAATGAACTCAACATGTATACATACAATCACAAGCACTGTCAAACAAAGTAACTGTGCTAATGGTTTGTGACAACCAACTGCATTTGTAAATCTTTCACATTTTATTTTTCCAAGGCATTCCATCTCTTTGCATGGGCTTTGGTGGAGGTTGTGGTGCAGCACCAACAGGTCTCAATCGTGGCAGGGGTTTTCGGTCTTTCCCGGCTTCACAAGATTGATTCCTGGCTACTTTGCTATGAATAGCACAGCTCACACAGTAATGCAGCTTGTCATAGAGTTTGGGAAGCATGTAAGCACCGAAGACACTTGCTTCACGTATATCCCTGACATCAGCGGCCTCTACAGTGTTCTGAATGACGAACTTCTTAACGGCCTTGCCCTTGGGCACGCATGGGGCACAGTTCGTGCAGCAAATCAGCTGCACATGGCTACAGCCCTTTTTGGCACGCCCATTGTTCCTTGTTTCTTTGGTCTTGTCACTTCCTTCCCCAAGACTCCAACTCTCAACTCCCTACAATCCGAGGCCCTACTTTCCACCCATTGCCCAGGCTCACACTCTCCCCCACATTTGTTAATCTTGTTACTGTGTTTTACTATGTCAATCATAAACCAAGAAATTCAGAGAACACTTGTGTTCTTTAAAAAGTTAAATGTTTACTTACATTAATATAGGTATAACATATTTACATACTTTAAATACATATAAAATTTGGATTCTAGTTATATGGTCACAATCTGTACTTTCTGATCCAAATGGTATATAGCACAAAATATACAATAAATATAATAGAGTCTTTTGATAGTATACTGTTTTGTATTGGTTGTCCGGAAACTTGCTTTGTGGCCCAAAACTCAGATCCCCCTGCCTCTCTCTCCCCAGTACTGGGATTAAAGGTGTACACCATCATGCCTGGATGCCTAGGGAAATTTTTAAATAATATTTTTATATATTCTTTGAAAGTGCCATACATGTATGCCATGTAGTTCTCTTCCTTCCACTCCCTGCTACTTCCCTCCAACTCACCTGTTTTTAAAAGTCATGCAAAAATCTAATTAAGGACAAAATCCTTGTCTAAATTCATTTCTCCCTCTAAAGAAAGGAGAATGGGAATGCTTTCCCAACTGCTACTTTATCACATCAGAAAGGAAATAGAAGGCTTTCTGGTAGAAGGTGCTAGTCAGGCACCCATCATCATAAAGTTAGATGACTAATTGCCAGCATCCTGCCTTCTAGAGAGCTGACATTTTCCTTGTGGACTTAGACATTACATCAGTATACCGATGCACTATTACTTTTGTGTAATATAAACTAGTTGTCAAAGGAAGTAACCTTAAGCATAGTAATTCAGGTAACTGAAAACAGTAACCTTTTAACTTATAAAATGGCTGACTAAAAAGTCTTCTTAGCCATCTCATTTATTATGGTCAGTAACCACATTTGAATTGTTACTTATATTACATATTTATACTCTAAGTTTTATCATATTTTCTTACTAACTAGTATCCATGCATGTACATATACACACACACACACACACACACACACACACACACACACACACATATATATATATATATACACTCAAAAGGTCACTCTTTGGTATTTAATGTATATATGTTTGTGCAAATACTTTTATATACCTGTATACACACTGTTACATGGTTTTATGTACAACATGTAGCAATTTAGACAATCCCCACCACTATTTTGCTTATTTGTTGAGACAGAGTCTCACTATATAGCCCAGGCTGGCTTTGAATTTGCAGTCCTCTTTCCTTGTCCTCCCTAGTGCTGGGATCACAGCCATGTGCCATCACGACAGCTGTATAAAGCATTATGGACACCAGGCATATCTGTATCATTAGATAGAGAAAGGCTAGATGTTCTGATCAATAACCCCAGCAGTAGAATCAGTTCTAAGGGCATAAATCAAAATATAAAAGGTCTAAAGTAGTATTATTTATAGTTGAACAAATTTGCAATCAGAATGATCAGCACAAAGGAGTGATGATACACAACCATTTAATAAAACATTACACAATATTAATGATATGCTTTCATTTTTAATGGTATGGAAATGCTTGTATTATACTAAATTAACTAATGAGACTATTTATTCAGTTTATGCAATCTGACCTGATATGTGCAAGACTGGAGTGGTGCAAATAAGTGCATATGAAATTTATGAAACTGTCTTAAGTTGCTTCATTCAGATGATAGTAGGTCGGTTGCTTACAAAGCATAAGCAGTATATCTGCATGGGCTGTTGTGTGGGTGAGTAATGTGTGTCTTTTTCTCCCTCTGTCTCAAGTCTACCCTTGGCTACGTTGCACTGCTCATAAGTACTTTCCACGTGTTAATTTACGGCTGGAAGCGCGCTTTTGCAGAAGAGTACTACCGCTTTTATACACCGCCGAACTTCGTCCTTGCGCTCGTTCTGCCCTCAATTGTAATTCTGGGTAAGATGATTTTACTCCTCCCATGCATAAATCGAAAGCTAAAAAGAATTAAAAAGGGCTGGGAAAAGAGCCAGTTTCTTGAAGAAGGCATGGGAGGAACAGTTCCTCATCTGTCCCCAGAGAGGGTCACAGTGATGTGATGAAAAGAGGTGCTCGCTGTTGCCGTATACACTTCTGTCCATGCCATCACGTCACCCCTCCCTCCGCATTCCCCGAGTGGACTGTCAGTCTCCTGTAGTGTGACACCTGGCAGTGAGATTTCAGTTGAAATCGTGATAGCGTTCTCTTCAAGTTAATTTTCATAAATGTCAGATTTTGCCAACATGAAATTTTGTAGCCCACATGTCTTGTTATAATCTAGGAGTATTTTCTTTTGTGTAACTGTAACAGTACTGTTATTTTAACTATATTGCATAACCAGGCAGAACTGTTTGTAGTTGATAATGTAGAATGTTTAGAACACTTGGCAAACCAGCAGAATTTGAAGCTTTTAATGTTACTCGGTGTATAGGCGTTTTCCCTGAGACTAAGGATTTTAATTATTACCCAGTTTAAGAAAGAGAAATGCAAAATTATATATTATTGGGAAGGGACACGTCATATTAGCACCTAGGGTGCATAGGAGCATGCCTCTACTTTTATAAAAATGGGATTAGAAAATGCCATTAATTATAAAAAGCAGTGTGAGTATGAGCACACAGAAATGAAAAAGGAATCTGAAATTATATTTAAAATGCACTGGAGACACGGAATGAATACTGTTTATGCACAACTCATGAGAGCTTCATTCTCTTATGTTACAGATCAGTTTCATTTTCATATTTATGTCAGTCAGTGACTTGGTCTCTCAACCTGTAATTCTGCCTCCCATGTAATTCTGAACGTAGTCCCAACCCCAGGAGTTGTAGAACTGCCCTTAATCTGCAGTGAAGGTATCAGGTTTGCACATTGTTACACGTCAGTTTGTATTTGTTGCTTTGGCCAGTTACCATTCTTCCTGAGTAGGATTTTCCTGATGTCTACTGAGGGAATGTATGGCATGGTTCTAAACTCTTGTCCCATTTAATATTTACAACAGACCCATGAAATCGTTAAATGATCTTCATTTTACATGTGGGGAACTGAAGGATAGACAAGTTAAATTTCCCTAAGGTCACACGGTGAATAGGTGGCAGGTGAGCAGTCATGGCCGAGTAGTCATCCTTCGGAATCCATTGTTTGGTTAAACATCAGAATATACAGCGCCTGGCTTGTCTCCATGTACTGCATCCATGATGCCAATCTAGACAATTCCTCTCTTGTATAGCCATTGATAGTCTTTAGAATATGCTGTGTGCTTCAAAGGATGTATAGAAGTATCCTGGTCATAATCTTATCATTGCTGGAAACCCACAATAGCCAATCGTCTCGTCGTGCAGCGAAGGACTGAGCGGGGAGAGGGTCATAGCAGTGTGGGCGAACTGTGGAGATCCTGCAGCTCTTCAGAAATTTCCGTCAGGTGGCCATGTCCTTTGCTCTTCCTGGGAAACCCTTCAGCCTTCACTACCATTCATTAGGAAGCAGTTTATAAGAACGAAGGATAATAGGGCACGTGGCTAATAATAAATCTACTCCAGAGACATATGATCATGTAGATTACCTGTAAAACTTTCTCAGTGCTGGTGTTCCATGTGTAAATTGCATTTTGTTCAAATTTTGGGATGTACTACATTTTTTCCCATTTGTTCCTTACTTACCATAGTAAAGTTACAGATAGGATGTAATTATATGTATTCTTCCTAAAACTGTATCATTTCTAAAGCTACCTACTGACTTGACTCCAACCATCAAAAATAAAAATGACTCTTATTTTTGTGGACCTGTATTTCCCACCAGTGTCTCTGTTTCTACTCCTGCATTGTTAGTCTGGGAAATCACTCACTATTCTTGGATGATTTCTTGGTGAACTGTAAAATTCAACACCCCATTTTAATTAGATTGATCATAATCATTAATTCTTAGTAGGAATCCAGTATAGTGATGGCTTTTAACAGTAAATACCTACAAGCTGGTGGTGCACACCTTTAATCCAAGCACTTAGGAGGGAGAAGCCAGTGAATCTCTGGGAGTTGGAGACCAGGCCCGTCTACAGAGTGAGTTTCAAGACAGCCAGCACCACACTGTAACTGTGTGTAAGTAAATACAGACATACACACATACTGAGACTGTCATGAACTAGTGAGAATGGCAATGTGTTTTCAATATTGCTTGCTTCTTAAACTTCACTCTAAGACAATTTAATGTGAAAATACAATGAGATATTTCTGAAAGTTAGATGATTAAAGTACATGTTATATATGTTATGAGGTAGCCCATAATATAAAGTTACTGCTATTATACATACAGGGGACCTTTGGAAGTATAAAATTACATAAAAGCTACAAATATCTTTCAAATGACACTTTTCCTTTGGAATGCTACAAAAATGGAATAGTTTTAGTTTTATAATAAATGTAATATAGTCATTACAATTCTAAATGTTGAGAGGCCCCACTCACAATGCATATCTATTCACTTCCGGTTGCTTAATTTACTACTTCTGTAACTTTTCTTTTCATTAATTTTCTCTTTATCTTTAAAGGCATTTTTCTGGCTTCAGAAGTTGAATGAAATTTGTTGTTGTCAAATGTGAGAAGGTGGTGGTAAGGAGCTTACCATTCAAAGAGTAAGCCCTAGAGATGTCTCAGTGGCTATGGTGCCTGTGGAGAAGTCTGATGAGCTGAGTCTGGTTCCCGGGATGACTGGGGTCAGGGTGCTGACTCCTACAAGTTGTCCTTTGACATGACGACACGCACTCTCGTGTTCTCTCATCCGTCTCTGTCTATTTTCTCTCACACACATACAAAGCAAATGAAATATAGTTTAAAATCTTTAGAGGTGCAGGGAGGGTAGGGAAGGTTTTAAAGAGGAGGGAAACTTTGTTTACCAATTTATGTTTTGGGAAGTATGAGTGAGAAAATGATAGGAGTGTAGAAAACATAATCTGTCTTAATCCTTTGTAAAGACAGCTAAGTAATTTTTCCTATGAGGAAAAAAACTCATATAACATGTATCATGCTACTTAGCTTTTATGCAGATTTCATGTTTCCTTTATTAGGAATATTTAAAACCACATTTAAATATAAATGTACTCATATTAACATCTGTTTTAAGAAGATACATTAAAATTTAGCTCAGATAATCTACATGAGATCTTTATTTAAATATTAAATTATAAATTATGAATAAATTATGATTATTTATTAGAGCTAATTATTTTGTATAATACAGAGGGTAGCTGATGAGTTCATGCTAAACTACCTGATTATTTTTCTTAAAAATTAGCATAACTTCTAATTGACTGAAGAATTTGACTTTCAAAATTAATTTGATAATGATAAAAATATGTTCCCACTTAAGTCAAATTATGAAAGTTATTTTTAAACAGGATTCAAGAAATATTCAAGAATATATTCAATGTGATTAACATAATGAATTCCAGGACAGCCAGGGCTGTAAAGAGACCCTGTTTCAAAAGAAAAAAACTCTTTCTGTCTCTCTACATATAAATATTCAACTTTTTCTATTATTTATCTCTTATGTACTGTGACAAAAGTCTTAATATAAATTTTTATGCCATTAAGCTATTAGTAATATATTCTATAATGTTCCCTCCCAAAATGTGGTTTATTTGTAAAATTTAAGTATTTCACATGGTATTTAAAATATAAGTACTATAAATGTGATTCATAACTAAACTGTAAACGACTAATTATACCTGTATCAGTCCATAAAATCCTGCTTTTGAAATGTGCAAGCAGAATAAAATAAATTGTTTTGTAAATTCATGACTAAGCAACGTCACATGTAGTATAACGTACCTCAGTCCACTGCTACCATTCTTTGTGACATCAGGAAAATGAATTGCTCAACCCTGCACTGTTCAGAAGTCAGTAAGACAAATTCTGGCATACAGACAGCCTTTGTAGTTACCTAAAATGAAAGTGTAGCAATTTTAGTGGCAATAGTCTGTTCTTCTGAGTGTCACAGAGTGAACAGGTTCTTCAATAATTTTGAGATTGACAAGATCATAAAGTACTTCATTTTCAGGGGCTCTAGCCATATGGTACTAAAACAGTGTTTCTATTTAGCCTAACATGCATACTAGGAATTGTTGGGTTGTTTTTTAGCTTTACAAATCACTAAATTTCCATTGTGCACAGATCCACAATGAAGGCAGGCCAGGAATCTTCCCAGTAGCTTAGAGACACTCCTGGTAGCTAGATGAGCTAAGGTAACTCAAAAAGCAGGTGCTTTATACGAGTTCCAAATTGCCAACTTGCAGGAATTATTCTCATACACTTCCTTCCGAGGCTTTTCACAGTTTCACAGGTGTTCGTCCTTCACAGCTGTCTCTTTCCTCAGTCCTGGGCTGCTGAGGACTGCTGTTCACACCTTATGAAGTGAGGTGTCCTTGTGACTGGTCTCAGTGCCTGCCTGAGAGGTGGCCTGCATCGAGTGCTGGCCTCTGAGGCCTACTCCAAGGAAAGTGGCATGTGTTCTTCATGGCTCCTTCTGTCTGGCTATTGAGGTTGTAGATAAACAACTGTCCCTAGACAGCCAAGGCAACACTCAGAGGCAGAACGGAGGCCACTAGAAAAGAGACAACTCCCTGCTGCTTCTGCTATTTAAACAATTAGAACTCAGTTTCTGTGTTCTCTGAAATCTAAATTTTATCCTTTCCAGTTCGCTGTCACAATATTAATCTAGCATTATTGACTAGGTTAGACTAATAATTCTTTTAAAAGATTTTAAAGGGTGATGTACAATTTATGTTTAAATTGATATTCTACTGTTAATTAATTATACTTGTTTTCTGCCTTTATAAAATATTAGCTATTTTGTATTGACTTGTATGATTTTCTTTGTACAAATTTTTCTTGTGTGTATTCATTTTTGCTAAACATCTGTATCCGGTAAAATACTCTTGACAAATTGCATACCATGATTTTATGTCATTCTCCTAGATCTGCCTTATATACATTTCAATAAAAAGTATTATTTAATGTTTGAATTTTGCTTTTTTAAAATCTTAGTGTGTAATTTGAATATTTGATGGAATTCATCTAATATTTTGGTCTATGTTTTTTTTCTTTTTTCTTTTATTTTTTCCTTTTTTACATTTTTTATTTTAATAGATTTTATTTAAATTAGAAACAATCTTGTTTTACATTAGCAATCCAGGTTCCCTCTCCCTCCCATGCCTCCCATTGCCCCCCCATCCCCCAGCCACTCCCCAGGGCAGATGAGGCCTTCCATGAGGGATCATTAAAATCTGTCAAGTCATTTGGGGAAGGGCCTAGGCCTTCCCCTGTGTATCTAGGCTAAGAGAGTATCCCTCCATGGGAAATGGGCTCCCTAAGTCAATTTGTGCACTAGGGATACATCCTGATTCCACTACCAGAGGCCCCATAGACAGTACAGTGCTCCTATCTGACACCCACATTTAGGGGGCCTGGTTTGGTCCTATGTTGGTTTCCCAGCTGTCAGACTGGTGTCCATGAGTTCCCACTTGCTCAGGTCAGTTTTTTCTATGGGTTTTCCCAATGTGGTCTTAACCCCTTTGTTCGTCACTCCTCCCTCTCTGAAACTGGATTATAGGAGTTTGGCTCAGTGCTTGGCTGAGGATCTCTGCTTCTGCTTCCATCAGCTACTGGATGAAGCCTCTAGGATGGCAGTCATCGTTCTCATTATAGGGGAGGGGCATTTAAGGTAGCCTCTCCATTATTGCTTAGGGTCCTAGTTGGGGTCATCCTTGTGGAACTCTGGAGAGGGGGTACAGAACTAAACAGAGAATTCTCAGTAGAGGAATCTAAAATGGCTGAAAGACACTTAAGAAATTGCTCAACATCCTTAACCATCAAGGAAATGCAAATCAAAACAACTCTGAGAAAAGATTTTTCACCTGTCAAAGTGGCTAAGTTCAAAAACACCAATGACAGTTTATGCGGGAGAGGATGTGGAGAAAGGGGAATGCTTCTCCATTGCTAGTGGGAGACAAACTTGTACAGCCACTTTAGATATCAGTATGAAGGTTCCTCAGGAAAATGGGAACCAGTCTACCTCAAGAGCCAGCAATTCCACTCTTAGACATATACACAAAGGATGCACATTCATACAACAAGGACATCTGTTCCGCTATGTTCATAGCAGCATTATTTGTAATAGCCAGAACCTGGAAGCAACCTAGGTGCCCCTCAACCAAAGAATGGATATAGAAAATGTGTTACATTCATACAATGGAGTACTACTCAGAGGGGAAAAAAACACTGAAATCTTGAAATTTGCAGGCAAGTGGATGGAACTAGAAGAAAGCATCCTGAGTGAGGTAACCCAGTCACAGAAAGACCAACATGGTATGTACTCACTCATATGTGGATTTTAGACATAGAGCAAAGGACTACCAGCCTACAATCCACCCCTCCAGAGAAGCAAGGAAACAAGGATGACCGTAACAGAGACAGACACTGGTCCCCCAGTGAAGTAGAAAGGGACAAGAGCCCCTGAACAAATGGGGAGCATGGGGGGAGGGGGGAGGAGGAGGTAGGAGAAAGAGGAGTGGGGGAGGAGAACATGAGGGAGCAGGAAGAGTGGAGAGAGGAATAGAGGAGAGCAAGGAAAGAGACACATCAATAGAGGGAGCCACTATAGGTTTAAAGAGAAATCTGGTACTAGAGAATTGGTTTTTTTCTTAACTTTTTAAATTTGTTTTTTTGTCTCTTCCACACCATGCTTCCCTATCCCATCCATCTCCCTCCCCTGCCAAAATAAAACAAAATAAAATTTAAGAGAAAAAAAAGGAGGGGGAAACACTAACATGGAAGCTGCACAGTGAGTCACACACTAAACCCCTTTAATCATACATTTTTACATGCGTTTATCACAAAGAATCTTTGGTCTGGTTAGAGGTCACTCACTGGTCTTTGCTACACCATCTACACTGGGCCTGCACTAGGACTCTTCCCGGACATCCCATTGCTGCCCTGTGTCCCAGAGATCCTGCGGCCCTGGGTCCCCATGATCTACCCCTCCACTATAGCAGATCACAGATGGGGGTGGATATTGGCCAACCCATATCCCTGGTTCTTGCCTGCCCTGGTAGTTGCAAGGTTGGTCAGCCCTCCAGCTCTCCCTTGTCTTCACCACCAGGATGGGTTTCCAGCATTGCCTTGGATAGTTTACCCCTTTCAGTGATGAGCAAGGGGGCAGGGCCAGCTCTTTCATGTCTACACCTTTAGGAGCAGCTCTACTGTGTTGCTCAGGCAAGGTGTAGGGGCCACTCTCCCAAGGGCTGCAGCTGATGAGGGGCAGAAACAGCTCTCCTCTTATGACCTCAGGGCCAGCTCTTCCACATATATGCCACCATATGTCAGATGCAAAATGGGGACAGCTCTCCCATCCATGTTCACAACTTTGGGGCTGGCTTATCCACACACCTTCTGCCAACAGGGTCAGATCTACTGTGCTGCCCAGGCGAGGTGCAAGGTTCACTTTCCCAAGTGCTAGAGCCAGTAAGGGGAGAGGTCAGCTCCCTTGCCCACCACAGGAGGCAAGGGCAAAGTGGGAGAGGGCATCCATCCCTCGCCTCACCATCATATGGCAGATGACAGGTGTGTGGCCAGCTGTCTCACTCTCCTACACTCAAGGCTACCCTACCCTCGCCTCTGTCCACAGGATCAGTTCTACTGTGCTGCCCAGGTGAGGATCAGGATCACTTTCTTGAGTGCTGCAGATGGTCACGGGAGGAGGGTTGTAGCCATAAGTCTTTTAGCCATAAGTCTTTACTCCATCCACCCAAGCCTTGCCGCGATGTGGATGCCCAGAATAACACACAGAGTCTTTTTGTTTTGTTTGGTTTTTGTTTGTTTTTCGAGACAGGGTTTCTCTGTGTAGCTTTGAATCCTGGCACTCGCTCTGGAGACCAGGCTGGCCTCAAACTCACAGAAATCTGCCTGCCTCTGCCTCCGGAGTGCTGGGATTAAAGGCATGTGCCACCAACGCCCGGCTAACCCACAGAGTCTTATATTAGTTTACAATGCTGCTGGCCAATTGACTAGGATTTCTTATATGCTAGCTCAGTCTTAATTATCATAAATCTATATATTTTATAAGACTTATCTTATAGAGGACGCCAGCGGAAGGCTTCCTCTTTCTGGAATCACACAGCAGCTCCAGAGCAGAGAGCAGGAGGAAGAGGAAGAGAGAGAGAGAGAGAGAGAGAGAGAGTTGTTTTCTACTTATATTCTGAGTCAGCCTGCTATGTCACTTCCTGCCTGGATCTTTTTACTACATTTCCCAGAATCCTCCTTGACTCCTAGTCCCGCCTATCTTGTTTCCTATTGGCCAACAGTGCTTTATTCAACAACCAATAAGATAAACATACACAGAAGGACAGAGCCCATCAGAGGGTCACCTCCCTTGTCCCTGGCAGGTAGTGATGAGTAAGGGATAAGCGGGAGGCATCTCTTGCCCCTACACCACTGCATGATGGATGAGTTCTGTGGATAGCTCTCCCAAGCTCACAACTTTGGGGTTGGCTCACCCACACCTCAGACAGCAGGGTTGGCTCTATTGTGCTGCCCCATAGAGGTGCTGGGCCTGCTCTCCTGAGTGCAGCAACTGATGGCAGGCAGGGCTAGCTCTCCCATCTATCTCAGGTGTTGATGAGGGGGAGGGAGAGGTATCACATGCCCATGTTCTTAAGGTTGGCTCACCTGTGCCTCCATCAACAGGGTCAGCTCCACTGTGCTGCCCAGATGAGGTACAGGGCCTGCTTTTCCAAGTGTTTTAGCTGGTAATGGGGTCAGTTTCCAGGCCAGCTGGAGCCTGTAGGGGTAAGGAGGAGGACATGGCTCCCACCACCACAGCACAGTACCAGCTATTTATCTTTGTTTCTAAAAGGATATCGAAAAAAACATAGTTTTGCTTGGATAGGGGACTGTATTTACAGAAGTAGTCATTTAGACAAACCTCTATTTAATGAAGACTATTTCAGTTCATTGAGCATTTTTAGATCAGGATACCTACAATGTTTAAGCTATTCTGCAAACCAGGAATATAGTGTTAGATGTTGCAAAGTCTCCAGTGTCTAATACATATGTTCTACAGCAGGTATTTAGAGACATGACTTGTTTTTATAGAAAATTATGCTATTCATCTCTTCTGCAACTATTTCTTCCTGCCTGGACCTCAGATCCCTTCCTATCACTGCCTCCCCTTCTTGGTTTGTTTCCTGGCCAGTGGCCCCAAGCTGCCCTGTCCTCACAGGAAGGAGTTGCTGGGGTGTGGTCATCACCACTGCCACACTGCTTCATGCTGAGGAGTCCTGTGCGTGCAGCAGATCAGGAGAAACCGACATCTGTGGATCTGCATGAAGATGCTTGAGTGTGTATCCTGACAGGATTCCCAGAATAGAATACTCAGTTAAATTTGAATTGCAGACAAACAATAAATAATCATTTATGGCTAGCATTTTACATATGGTTCATGGCATGGCCGTTTTTTCCTAATGTGTCAACCCAAATGAAGGGAAAAATTTGACCAAGGAGATACAACATAAAATTGAACCGATATATATGAATATATATATACACACACACATATATATATACATATATATATACACACATATATATTAATTATCCATCCATCCATTTCCTCTGGGAATGTTCCAAAGTACGATTCAGCAGACCTTCATTACAATACCCTATAAAACCAAGCAATTAACTACACATGTTCAAAAGCCATGACATGTTTAGTAACATCTATTTGTCCCTTTCTCTGTCCAGGAATAAAAGTCCCAAAAAAAGTGATGATTGCTGGTCTTTATGGAAGGCTCAGGAAACAGAGTAAGACACGTGGAATTGTTAAATGGCAAATGAAGTATGAAATAAACCATTTTTGCAGTTTTAGGCGTAAGACTTTTTAAGCTCAAAATCCAGATGTGTTGAGAGATCTGATGACAGATTCATACTAATCAAATGTATAGTAATAGATATTAAGTTAGCATAGCAATTTACTGACACTGAAAAATATTAGTGTCCTCTAGGTGATAATGCCAACATACCTTTAACTAGACATAGTGTATTCTTCAGTGTGTTAATAAGAATTCAGATTTTAACTTAAACAATGGTGGTATTTATTAAGGACTGAATTGTGTCCAAAATTTGCATGTTGAAAAGAGGACAAGACCAGGTTGGTAAAACAAACCCACAGAAACAGCTGACCTGAACAAGTGGGAGCTCTTGGCCCTCAGACTGATAGCTGGGAAACCAGCATGGATCTGATCCAGACCCCATGAATGTGGGAATCTATGGGGCCTCTCATAGTAGATCAGTACTTATCCCTAGCATAGGAATGGACTTTGGGAGTCCATTTCACATAGAGGGATAATCCCTCAGCCTAGACACACGGGGGTGGGCCTAGACCCTATCCCAAAGGATATGACAGACTCTGAAGACCATCCCCCCATGGAAGACCTCACCTTCCCTGGAGAGCAGAAAGGGTATGTGATAGGTAGGGTTTTAGTTGGGATGGGGGGGGCAGGGGAGGAGGGGAGGGACAAGGGAACTGGGATTGACTTGTAAAACAAGCTTGTTTCTAATTTAAATAAAAAAAATGGGGGAAAATTTGCATGTTGAAGTCCTAACCCCCACTACCTCAGAATATGACTGTATTTTGGTGTTGAAGGAGATAACTGGGGTGAGATCAAATGGGTGAGTCTTAATCCAATATGATTGACATCCTTTTGAAGTTAGGACACAGGCTTTGACAGGGAAAACTATGTGAAGGGAAGGGAAAAAAATGCCACCGTGTGTGTGTGGGGGGGGGGAAGAATTTCAGGGTTTTTCTATGGTTGCAAAACTTGAACTTCCCACCCCAGGCTATGCTAGACATTCAACACCAGGGGTTCCAGCATCCTAGGCAACCACTCTGCTGCTTGAAGTCTTTCCAACACTGTACGATGCCTCATTTGTTTGTCTGTTCAGTCAGGCCACTATAGTGCAAAAGAGGTTTAATATATATATATATATTTTATATAAACTCGTAATTTAGGCTAAAGTGGTCCTATCACTGGAAGAGGGTAAGTGGTCGGCTCTCGACACTGTGCCAACCACATCCCTCCCAGTGTAGCTCACTTCCAGCCCTTACTCCTCCGCCCCACGCAGACACTCATCAAGCCAGGGCCATCGCCGCAAGACGGAAACTCTGGGTGCATACCGCAATCTCCGTCACTGCTCCCCTTTGTCTCCGGGTCCCACACCACTCGGCCGTCTTTTGGCAAAGTTTGGCTCTCCCAGCTTCCGTAGGTCCCGCCCCCTAGCAACGCTCGGGCTTGTGTTAACAACCGGAGCGCGCTTGGCTCCTGGGTCCCGGGTCCGGAGCCCGGGTCTGTCGCCCCCCTAGCTCCAGCCGCGCTGACGCGGTTCTCCCGCAGGGCTCGCGGCACGCCTGGGACCGCAGGCTCGCACCCCGGCCATGTCTACCTTGGAGGCTGCAACCACGGCAGACGCCGCCGAGACCAGCTGCAGGCCCAAGTCCAACAGTCCGCGCACGATCCCGGTGATTGGGGTGGTGACCCCGCAAGAGGATGTGCAGGTACCGCTGGGCTCCGCGGCAGGGGCGGGGGAGGGGGCCCGGGC